TGGAAACGGCCATAAGTATTTTGAATTTTAAATATTTTGAATGAATCACAAAAAATACTGTATGAAACACGTCGCAAGGCTGGTTTTTTGCACGTAATGTGTTGGACCAATCTTCACATGAAGCTTTTGGCAGTTGTGAAAATTATGGCTTTTTAAAAATTAGGTTTTAACTATTTTTAAATTTTGAAATGTAGGAATATATGCAACTTGAACGTACTTTAATAAACGTTTCTTGTCAAAAAAGTTCATGCTTTTTTTTTAAGCAACCAATCAACATCTACCCCTCAACCCACCCACCCCATCATGGACCTGAATTCCTCTTGATATCAAACTATGCTTTTCATGACGTTTTGTTTTATAGATCCTTATCGATAATTTAAATATTAGAAGTAACGCAAAGTGACAAGGAGCAAAAATAAAAACTCGTTTCGGTGTTTTGTAGACGACTTTTTCGCCACTAAACACCTCGCGCTCCGCAAATACATAGCGCGCGGCGCACGTACCGGAAACTTTAAAAACGAGGCAACCACATCTTTCGGCAGGATTTGAGCAGGCAGCCTTAGTTTGATAGAAAGAGGAGATCGAGACCTTTAATTTGAGACCTAATTTATGCGTCCACCTGATGACGATAATTATTAATAAAAAACCGACCTTTTTAGCCAGGTTGCAAGGGTGTTGCGGCCGGTTGGGGGCAGGCAGCCTTATATGGTTGAATTCGCCTCACGCTCCCCTACAACATGGTGATTTCATTTCATATGTCCACCTCTAAAAGATAGTTACTGTAATTATTCATCTAATGAAAAAAATTGAAAAACACTGTTTCGGCAGGATTTTCGCAGGCAACTTTCGCGTATTCTCTTAATTAGTGCCTCAACTAATATTCATATTTTTCTCGCTCGTCCACCTTATGACGACAGATTCTCTGCAGCCGTCTCTCGTACTATGACACCTGCAGCGTTATGCTTTCAGATCAGAAAGGAGCCGTAGTGGAATTGCAAAAATATTGCAAAAATATATGCCTCAAGCTATTAAATCTCCTTGTAAACCTATCAAGAAACTGTTTAGGTAAGTATTATAAAAGAAACTACCTTTTTCAACGCTTCTGCTTAAAGATTATTTGGTTAAGCACTGGCAAATTATTGGCGAACAAGGCCTGACAAAATTTTGCAAGACGAGATGGACCGGAAGGCACGAGTCTGTGCTAAGATTTAAAAACACGCTTTTATAGTAAATTGAACTAAAAAGTGAAAAATAATTTTTAATATAAACAGAAAATATTAATGAACAAAAAATATTAGTGCGCGTGCCCATTGGTGAGCGGTGAGCGGTGAGCGGCGAGCGATGCGCGGTGAGCGATGAGCGTCGACGTAAAATATTTCAAACAGTGAAGTGTAGATTAGAGTGTGCACATTGCAATGAGCGATGAGCGTTGGCGTTGCGCGGTATCGCATCGCGCCGCTTCGTTTTGGTTTTTGATCGAATTGTAAGCGGCACTGCGTCCACTGCGGCACGGATAGAGTAGATTGGAATGTAAATTATGCACGCAGGCACGCTTTTAATATGTCTTTTCAACAAGATGCTATCGACAGGGAGTTATTAATTTCCGAGGCCCAAAATCCCAATCAAAAACTGTTTTATGGAATGATAAAAACAAAAATTTCAAAAAAACTGAAGTTATCAAAAAAGAGTGGCTGGAGGTTAATTGTCGCTACTGTTTGGAGAGAGACTGTAGGTATTTGTTTTTACTTACCTTAAAGTTTCGTAGAGTCTGTCAGCTGGTAAATTGGTTTCTTGAAATTGGTACAGAGTTCTTTCGATTTCGACGCCTGTTCTCTACTTTGGCTAAAATGTAGTCGAAAGTTTTGATGGACATACGAAGGAATTCAGAAAACCTGGACGAATTGCATCGAAATCCATGTACAAATGATAGAATTCTCCAATTAGATGACTTTGATTCAATTGATGGATTTCTTTCATTTACTTTTAATTAAAATTAATCGAGCTGAACGTGGGTTTTCAACCAATAACAGTTTAAGCATCAAAGTAGACACCTTGCTAGCTAGGACAACTCTGAAAACGCTCATAAAATAAACTTTTCAATGTGCACACAACACCACGGGCGTTAGCACAGCCAAACGCTCGCCGCTCAACGCGCACCGCTCATCGCTCGCCAATGTGCACGCAACCTTATAATTATTGTGAAAAAAGCGTGGGGTGCTTTGTTCCACATTTCTCGTACATTGAGCACCCCACGCTTTTTTCACAATAATTCTAATATTTTTTGTTCATTAATATTTTCTGTTTATATCAAAAATTATTTTGCACTTTTTAGTTCAATTTACTATAAAAGCGTGTTTTTTAATTTTTAGCTTCCTAGATATAGGAAGCTATGGTGATAGCCCGATTTTGAACATGTCAAAATTTCATTAAATCTTAGGGTTTTGGATCATTTTAAGCCTTTTTGGCAACTTGGCACAATTCCGTCTGTGTGTAGGTATGTATGTATGTATGTGTGTTGGCATTTTTCTGAGAAAACGGCTCGATGGAATTTGATGAAATTTTGAAAATAGGTATAAAAAGACGTGTAGGGAAAAGTTACACAGAGATATAGGAAAAAAAAAATCCTCTCCAAGATATGACGTCATTGATCTTTTTTTTTAAATGGGAACGCCATTTAGAGCTCATTTTGCTTTATATAATTAAAAAAAAAATAAAAATTTAAAAAAAAAAAAAAATTAAAAAAAAAACTCAAAAATCTCAAATATCTCAATAGGTTTCATTGAGACATTTTTGAAGAAAAAAAAAAGAAGTATAAATTTGATGATAAGCTAAGCAGCGTCGAGCGCGGTTACTACTTGGATGGGTGCCACTTAGAAATTTACACGACGTTGCTTTTTCTTGAGATTATAGCGTTTTAGGGTGCTTATTGAAGATTTAGTACGCCGGCTTGAGGTCCCTTTTCAGTAAAACACTTTATGGGGGTAAACTTACCCGTACAAAAGGACCCTTAGGGTTTTTCGCTTATAATAATAAAAATTAATCGTATACACAGTGTGTAAAAAGTCCCGGAACAGTCAATTATTCTGAAAATAATGCACAATATAAAAAAACTTCCTGTATAAAAGTTGAAGGTCTTAATAAAATCTATTGAAATAGGACTTATGTATTTATACAGGGTGGCCCAAAAAGTTGTGCTACACAAAACTTCATTTTTTTTTAATGGAATTATCCTTTTTTAATTACATTTTCTGATTCCTCTAGAGATTCTAAACAACAATTATGAAACATGTCATATGGCTAAACCCATTAGTTTCAAAAATAATTTGAGTTGAAAGACATAAATACGATATGTACGATATTACCTACATTTTGCATTGTTTCGAGTTGGTTCAAAATGGTCACCAGACCTAACGCCCCTTGATTATTTTCTTTGGGGACATCTGAAAAATAATGTGTTTGTGACAAAACCTCCAGATCTGAACGAATTGAGAAGAAGAATTATTGAAGAATGTGCATCTATTAACCAAGAAATGCTACAAAACGTCATCAATAAATTTTACTATAACCTAGCCCATTGTCAAACTGTGGGAGGAGGACATTTTCAGCATTTAATGAAATAACTTCTTACACTTAATTTTATTTCTGTTCTTTCAAAGTTATTGTTAATTTTACTTTACTGCTTGTATTTAATAATTTAGTTATTAAGCTTAATAAGATTTTGACTAAACTTGAGTGAGGTACACATTTCATTTAACACAAGTTAAATGTTTTTTTTTTCAGGATTTAACATGAAACATTTTGAACCAACTCGAAACAATGCAAAATGTAGATAATATCGTACTTATCGTATTTATGTCCTTCAACTCAAATTATTTCTGAAACTAATGGGTTTAGCCATATGACATGCTTCATAATTGTTGTTAAGAATCTCTAGAGGAATTAGAAAATGTAATTAAAAAAGGAACATTTCATTTGAAAAAAATGAAGTTTTGTGTAGCACAACTTTTTGGGCCACCCTGTATAATAACAAAAGTCCTATTTCAATAGATTTTATTAAGACCTTCAACTTTTATACAGGAAGTTTTTTTATATTGTGCACCATTTTCGAAATAATTGACTGTTCCGGGACTTTTTACACAGTGTATATGGTTGTCATGCTAATTTTTGATACAAACGGTTGCTGACGCTAGCAACCATTTATTTGTATCAATACAAACAAATATGGACGCTGTTAGCAACATATTTTTTGCATTTTCATTCGTGAAATAATCCTCTAAATATCAATCGAGCTATAAAATGGTCAAAATGGACCAGATAATTTTTCACTCATGCGTGTTTTCTTTGCAAATTTATTCACTCGTCCTACGGACTCGTGGACTCGTGAAATTATAGAAAACACTCAATCGTGAAAAATTATCCGTAATTTTGAAGCTCTCGTGGTATTATGTGGTAGATATTATCTCCGAAAAATTACCCATATTAAAACCTGAAAAAATTTCAAGATTTATTAAAATGAATTTATGGTTTGAAATGACAATTAATGACAATGACAATCATCAATTAGGTAGTCATTTGTCTAGGAAGCGTTATGTCAAAAATTTGACATCTGGTTTTAAACTATATTTATTTTTCACTTTTTAATTCAATGTATTATCTTGTTGTTCATTTTTTTATTTTGAAGAAAAAACTGTAATTCTTATTTGTGTTTTGTTTATATTTTGTGGGATTATTGAGATTATGGGAGGAATGGTTGACATTGTTGACATAAAGACACAATCAAAAAATTATGGTGTGACCGGTGCGACACCTGCAGCCGGATTACAATTTCACTAGTGGACACGAGTCGAGCGTCTCATATAAGGTTTGTTCCAACCTGTAATAATATTACTGTAATATTATCGTTCGTAACCGAGCTAATGCGTGAGTTGTAAGTACAGATGAGTTTGACCGCTCCATTCTGATCTATTCTGTGGATATTTTGTATAAATCAAGCAAAAAAATACAAAATGTAATACTCTTTATTCATATAACTCTCATTCTTAAGGGTAATTTTCATAAAACTGCGTAGAAATGTAATAAATTAAAACTTTTACAACCACAAAACTCAAAAAATAAACTATACAAGTTATCCTAGGTTACAGAAAATCTAATCAAAATTAATTTTTAAAAAAACCCATTGATATGGGATGTTTCCTAGCATTAGGATTTTATAAAAATATATTTGTCTGATATTGGAAAATCTTATGTTGAGTGAAACATTTTGCAAAGTAAAAAGTGTATTTTAGTTTGTCTTCTCACACATACGAAAACGATAAAAACATTGCGTCACCACAACTGAAATTCCAATTAGCAATCACTTTTTTAGAATACATATTTATTGTCTACATTAAATTAAAACATAATGAACCTACTATCGTATAAATAATAATTAATAATTAAAATAATAAATAAATATTTTAAAAGTTGCCTTAAAATATCCCCAAGTACTCATCTTGTAAAATAGACGACATCAACTGTTTATCCTTCAGAGCTTCCAAAACTTCATTTTCGTTCCACTCTAACGTCACTTTATGCATTCTTGGTTCTTTTCTTCCCGAAACTTTGAGTATACCTCTAGTTTCAATTAAAGAACATAAACCAACAAATTCCGCTTGATCCACGGCTGTCAAATTCCTCTTGCTGCATACTTTAGAATAAACTTCGTGCAGTTTTCCAATAGTAATTTCTTTATTTTTGGCTTTTCTCAGCATAAGCAGCAGGGAACAAATAATAATTTTTTGCTGAAGAGGAAAAGTTTCTTCGTTGTCATCAGTTAAATTCTGCGAAGTGCCATAAACATGGTTTAAGATACTGAAGACTTCTTGTAAATTAACTTTTTTGCAATCTTGAGCGTCAAGTAATTCGTTTGTAGAATTTTCAACAGACTTCAAAATATCTCCTTTTTTATTTTCATCGATTAACTCTACAACCCTTCTGCCAATATCGAGAGCCCGTCTAACGTCTCCCGAAATAGAAGCTACTTTACCAGCCAGCATTTGCAAAGCTACCGGAGAAAAAACGTCCAAAACTCCAGCAGCTTTCAGTCTCGAAGTAAATATGTCAACTATTTGCTCTTTTGTATAAGGAGCAAAATGTAAAAGTTTTGGTTGGAGTTCGCAACGGGCTTTCAGTCTGGGTAACATTCGATCTGTGAGATCAAGAGCATTGGCTATGCCTATTAGGATCATTTTAGAGTTGGGATGAGAGGGCCATTCAAAAATCGTGTATAGAATTGAATGGTTTTTGGTTTCTAACTGGTCTATTTCATCTAGAACGATGAGGCTGAAAAAAAAAGAAAAAGTTATTTATGGATTAAATTTAACAAAAGAATTGTACAAATATGGTTGGAATGACGTCGATGACGACATGAAATAGATGACATGTTCTTGTCTATAATTGGGGTTTGGGACTACAAAATTCTCGTTGTAGAGTAGCTCCTAGACTATAAAGAGAACCAAAACAAGTTGATAGTCCGAGAGATTAAACTACGTTTTGCTGTCCAAGTTTTTCTCGGCACAATGTTTGTAGAATATTCAGAAACTATCTTCGACATTCAGACTCGGGCGACCTGCGCATTCAAATGAAAGCCTTCTTTGCAACCTATTGGAATTTGGTTGACGATTCTGAAATACGTTTTCTCAATAGTGCGTCCTCCGGGTTGGTTTCAACTCCAGGGTAAACGTGTCCAGTTGCAATGTTTACCCTGGAGTTATTCTAAATTTGGGGATGACTTGTTATTGAGAAACCAACCCATTGTCTGACAATAATTATTTTATGTTAGTGTTTATAAAGGAGTTATAAAAATCCGTTTTGAATGCGTGAAAGTCACATGTTCTTGTTGTTACTCCTGAATAAATACAAGATATTGGTGGTAAAATTACAACACAATTTTCTAGACATTGGTATAACTTCTTAAAACACGTTTATAAGGAATATTGACTTGAATGCAAAATTATTCTGAACCACAAAATACACTACCGAGCATAAAATTAGGGTCATCCCATAATTTGCAAGCAAAACCTGGGGCAAAACAACAAGAACTTTTTTAAATTCAAGCAACTACGACAAAATAATCGCATAAAGTTAGTGAACTTTACTCCAAAAAAAAAAAAAAATTCTCAAAAACCAAAAAATTTTGCATAATTGCAAATTATGGGGTGACCCTAATTTTATGCTCGGCAGTGTATTTGCTGATATACCATTGTTAAAAAACCTGGTATACAAAATATATGAAATCAGCACCAACAGAGGTATTCAACAAAGTATTACTATAAAGGGTGTACTTTTAAAAAAAAAAAAACGGAATTTGGTCAATATCTCAAAATCAGAGCCAACTAGAAAAAAACTGAGTAAATCACTGGATTCTCCAGAAAAGTGTCTCAAGGAAGTTCTCACAGAAAATATTTTTTTTTCATAATTTCAGATTTGTTCCAACAAGCCAAAAACCTTATAAACGATTTTGAAACCATTTTTTATGTGACGGTATATTGTATGGTTTCCTTCTGTGCTGGAACAAGGCTAGTATTTCTCAAAATCAAGAAACACCCTTTAGCGGCTAGAATTTAAGCCTCAAAACGCGAGGTACATTTTTTCCTATTTTGCTCAGAAATTGTCGTTTTCTATTCAAAATTTCTCACCATGTATAGGGTGAGTCACTATATTTTGACACCCACCTACACCCATCACAGGTGACAGGTAAAAGGTGTAATTACAAAAGTTGTAGCATTTTATCTGAACCTCCAGAATTTTCAATTAGATTGCACCAATGAGCAGCACAAAATAAAAAAATATGTTGATATTCACTTTTTTCAAATGGAAAGCAATTTATTTTCTTTCAAATTCTGAAAGTTCTCATTTTTCTGGTTCATTTTCATTATATAATATGGTAATATTTCTTCCAATAGTTTTGGAAATATCTGGAGTTTAGTTATTCAAAGACGCTAGTTCGAAAATAACCCAGTGTGCTTTTTTCTTAACCAACTTTGCCGCTAGGTAAATTTCACTCCTGTCTTTTTTGTCAGTTTATCATTATAGGCCTATTCGGGTTTGAAAAAAGGACAGTTCTAGAACGATTCAAAACAATCGCCGAGTTTATCAACCAACGGAATGACCATGGCTCGGCTATAACAAATTTCAGTAATAAACGGGTCAATTGACCTGTCTCGCATAAATAGAAAAAGATAGCTTAATTGTCATAAATACAAGTTGGAATGTAATAAAAGATGACATGCGCGCGCGACTAGTGGGTTGCTGTGTAGCCAGTTTGTATTGTTGCAGAACAAATCTAGACAATACAAATCGAACAATATACCAATCAAAAAGTGATTTTTTACGTGTTTTACAACGGTTTAAATCAGAAAAAAGTGTATGTTAACAATGTTTGCACTTTTATTTTGGTATATGTTTCATCAGGCAACATCGCACAATGAAACTGCAAAGGAATATGTCAAATATAATCTGACATAATCAAATAACACTGCGGGGAGTTTAGAAGGAATACGTGAAGTATTAGTTTGCTCTCTGTCGAATTACACATTACAAAGAAATAAGGAACGATTAATTCTGAACTGGTCCTTGAATAAGAATATGACGTAAGCCCGCAACAAACTTGCTTCTCATTGGACGCTCACCTGCAACCCACAAGTTGCGCGCGCAGTCAAGGTAAAAAAAGATAGGTCAATTGACTCAAAAAGTTTAGATATAGCAGAATGAAGATATTCCATGGTAATTACTGACAACCGACCTATCACCCGACTTGAAAACAGGAAGAAGATAATATTTTTTCCATAAGGGAGAAAAGTAACCTGCATCCATCGATCTTTGGAAAAGTGCTCTCAATGGGTTTACAAGGAAGCAGCAACAAGATTTCAACAATAAGAATGAAATGCCATCAGGACCTGCTTTCTTATGGCGATTCCTATTTGTCAATCAGTGCGCACTGAGTGTATCCGCATCTTTTCCTAAAAGCATGTAACATGTAAGGATAAGGATACATTTTTTTTGCACTGGTTTGATAAATGGAAATCGCAGTTAGATTTATCCAAGGATGATAACTTGTCGTTTTTCGGTTATTTCTTCTGAGCTAAAAATATGAAAAGACAAAGTGGCAGACAATTCCAGAGTGCTATTGTTAGAAATGTCCACATCTTTGTGATTTGAATAACAGTACTGATAGTGCGAGGCAAACGCATCAGCAATATCATCAGAATTATTGAGGGCAGAGGGGTTGATTATTGTTATGATAGATGTCCATTTGAAATCCTATATACAAGGTGTCCCACGGTGGATGGCGTATTAGACGTTTATGGAGAACTAAAAAGCGGATCATTTTGAAAATTTGGCAACCGGGATAAATGACCATGATCTACACTTTAAAAATATTTTTGACCATACGGTGTTGCCGCTTCTACTCTAAACTAGTGGCAACCATCACTATTTTAAATGGAACATCCCGTATGTGATTGCATATTTGGATTCTACGTAAAATTCTGAGCAGATTTCATGTGATATACCCTATACCTAAGTTCAACTGTTTTGGAAATATTGACAGTTGAAAATTGACTTTTTGCAACTTTGACAGGCTGTAAAACCTGAAAGGTTAATTTTAGAGGAAAACCGATTTTACATTCCTATCTCAGATTTTTATAAACTATCATTTGACACCAACTTTGAATTAAATCCATGATTAAAAATTTCAGTTAAATTTAATCTCCGGTTAAGTTCAAAGTTGGTGTCAAATGATAGTTTATCAAAATCTAAGATAGGAATGTGAAATCGGTATTCCTCTAAAATTAACCAATCAGGTTTAACAGCCTGTCAAAGTTGCAAAAAGTCAATTTTCAACTGTCAATATTTCCGAAACAGTTGAACTTATGTATAGGGTATATCACATGAAATCTGCTCAGAATTTTACGTAGAATCCAAATATGCAATCACATACAGGGTGTTCTATTTAAAATAGCGATGTTGCCACTAGTTTAGAGTAGAAGCCGCAACACCGCATGGTCAAAAATATTTTTAAAGTGTAGATCATGGTCGTTTATCCCGGTTGCCAAATTTTCAAAATGATCCGCTTTTTAGTTCTCCATAAACGTCTAATACGCCATCCACCGTGGGACACCCTGTATTCATATTTAAAATAAGCAAGAGGGAAGCCCCAAAATGGCTGCGTTTTCAATATGAATAGATACTGATGCGGAGGGCCAGCATGGGGATCTGGGAAACAGTAACAGATACAACGTCGCTTAAATTTGAGAAAAGTGGCGTAATTTTGTGCTCATTAAAATGTGCTTTGATGTTTTAAAAATTCCGAGTGCTAACGGACATATCCGGAAAAAACCGAAATTTTGCAAAATCGATTTTATTTTTTCTGAGGTTATTTGAAAAGGTATTTCAAAATAAATGTCACTTCATCATTGCCACCTTTCCTTCTCTACAAGATACCATCAAATTCAGAATCTGACGTTTCATCTTTGGGGCACCATCATCAACTTCATTTTTTTAAATACAGACCCTTATTTTTTATTTTAGATTTCATAAGCCTCTGATGTCCCAAAACCACTGACATATTGCACTTATTCAAAAAAATTATAGTATTGGTATTTTCCATAGGAACTTAATGTGTTGAGGAGAAACAGAGAAAAGAAATTTTGGAAATTATACTAAAAAGTGAAAAAAAAAAAATTGCGAATAAATTCGATACGTTATAGGATTTGGAGCATCAGAAGCTCTTAAAATCTGGAATAGAAAAACAAGGGCTGTATTTAAAAAAAATTAAGTTGGTGATGGCGTCCCAAAAACAAAACGTCTGATTTTAAATTTGATGGTAGCATCTTGTAGAGGAGAAAAAATGGCAACGCAACGATGAAGTAACATTTACTTTGAAATATTTCTTCAAATAAGCTCAGAAAAAAAAAAATAAAATCGATTTTCCAAAATTTCGGTTTTTTCCGGATATCTCCGGTAGCACTCGGATTACTCGGAATTTTCAAAACATCAAAACGCCATTTTAATGAGCACAAAATTGCGCAACTTTTTTTAAATTTAGGCGACGTCGTATCTCTTAGCGTTTCTGAGATTTCCATACTGGCCCTCCTTATTACATTGTATCAGATTTTAAAAAAACCAATCAAAAATGAGAGGGCAATTGTCGCCACTGTGGTTTAATGGTTGTCACTGTACAAAAGGGGACTGTATTATACAGGGTGTTCATTTTAAAACTTACCACCCCTATTATCTCGGAGTTGAAAAATTTTCGAAAAAATCCCTGTAACACATCCACTATAATTTAAAGGGGGATGAGTTTTTATGCAAAATTCACCTCCTCCCTTTCAACCCTCCAGCCCCCAGAGCCACCCCCTAGAAAATCTTAGATGGGAAGGAGAGGGGTAAATTTTAAAATGGACACCCTGTAGGTATACTGTATAAAATTCATTGTAGCAGCTGGCATCGGGTCTGTGTTTTGCCACTGTCATTCACATCAACAAGATAGAGAATCTCATGCATATAGTTTCATTAGTCAAGAACAATAGTAGGCCTGGGACACTTAGGACAGCTGAGTATCTTATTTGCAGTGTATTCAACATGTTTCTGTTAGAGTAGAAGAGTTGAGCTATTTGAGCTATTCACCAACCGAATATCATGTCATATTCAGTCAAAAGCTCAAGTCAACCCAGGAAAACATCCAACAACAGCTAGATTGGGCTGATTCAGAGCTGGCCAGGGCTTGAGTGCTTTGTGCTTGCGAAAGTGCTTGAAGCCCTTTGAGGGCTTGAAAGCCCTGTGCTTCAAGCCCTTTTATAGATTTGTAATTGGGGCTTGCAAAGTCAATTACTTTAGAAAAGTGCTTGGTAATTTGTAATTGAAAAAAGTAATTCAAGCCCTTTCAATGAGCTTCAATTACTTTTAGAGGGCTTGAAGCACTTTTGGGAGCTTGAAGCCCTTTGAAAGGGCTTGAAGCACTTTAAGAGGGCTTGAAGCACTTTTGGGAGCTTGAAGCACTTTGAAAGGGCTTGAAGCACTTTAAAAGGGCTTGAAGCACTTTGAAAGGAATTTGAATTGACCATCACTCAACCTATCCCCCACTTGATAATTTTCGATCGTGTTTTGTCCCTTAATTTTTTTTCCATTATTTGAACTTGAACCGTCTTATGTCTTTTCTCTCTTAACAATGGAGGTTTTGGGTTTGAACTTAGAATGGAATTTAAAAAAAAAAAAAATAATGAACTTATTATTCAAATAAATAATTAATTTATATTGGTAACCTATTTAACTTTATCACTGGATTTTTTCCACTTTTCCCCATTGAACATTTTCAAAACCTTAAAATTGAATTACCATGTAGTACCCCAAGTACCCCAGAACTACATCTCAAAAAAAAACATACTACTGCTACTCTGTGAAATGTAAAGTTCGTCTCTACTATACCAATTCAGTGTGATGAGTGTACGCGGTAGCTTATGCCACTTTGAGAATTTTATTACAAATTCAAAGTGCTTTAGGCACATTTAAAGAGCTTCAAGCACATTTAAAGAGCTTGAAGCACATTTAAAGAGCTTGAAGCCCTTTTCAAGGCACCCCAAGCACTTTTGATGTGCTTCAAGCACTTTTCAAATCACTTTGAGGGCTTTGTGCTTGTCAAGCCCAAAGCACTTTGAGGGCTTTGTGCTTGTGAAGCACTTTTGAAAATAAAAAGGAATTTGTGCTTGAAATTGAAGCACTTTGATAGAGGGCTTAGGGCTTAGTGCTTCAAGCCCTTTTACTGAGGGCTTTGCCCAGCTCTGGGCTGATTTAACTTTAACATAATATTTTTACTCATATTTTTACAAAGTAGTAGGTTAAAGTTGTTCTTCAATATCAGCGTCAGCATTCAATAGAAGATTTCATTATGGATGACTTTGGCAGAAATTCGACAAACAAAGTCACATAACCTATAAATAGCATTGTCAATGTTATTTTTTTTTTTTTCAATTAGGCAATCCAACGACCTGTCCAAATGGCGTCTGGTTGGCAAACAATAAACAAAAAACATATGTTTTTCTTTTGGCAGGATTAAGCCTAGTACTCATAACAGCGAAATTCACTCTTTTTTGAGATTGCTTCGACAATTTGACGTTTTATGCATGAATCAAACGTCAAATTATCCAAGCAATGTCAAAAAGGGTGAATTTCGCGGTTATGAGTACTAGGCTTTATCAATCTGACACTTTTCTGACATCGTTGACATGTAACAACCCGTATTCTAACCTCATAAAAATTTCAAAATGCCGGCTGGTTGGCAAAAGTCACGTGGTTTGGATTCCCTAATTTTGGGCTTATAGTCTGGGAGACGACCGCATTTTTCCTACCCCGATTGAGTTATGTGTCGACACTATTATCAATATATAGTATTATGTGCATCTATTAACCTGTATTCCTGCCTGAGAGCAAATGCTGCCGGAAATATCTTTTAACAAATTATTAACAAATTGAAAAAAACGTAACACTACCCCCATCGAGTTATGCCCTAAGTAGGGTATTAGATTGAAGGTCCGGATGTCCCCTATCCAAAAAGTCGATCCTGCCTCTTGAGAACTTGCCGGAAAACGGTGGCAGGACGGCTTATTGGGGCAAGGGCTCGCGGTCTCTGCTTTGACACCTATCAAGCTTTGCACTAAATGATGTGTCAAATTAAAGGTGTCAATAAGTTGATTTAAGGTCTGTTCGCACAGAAATCACAAACCAGTCAGAGCGAATTTCATTGGTTGGAAACAGTCAGGAAACTAGTTTCAACCAATGAAATTTACTCCTTCTGGTTTGGGATTTCTGTGCGAAGAGACCTTAAGTCAACTTATTAACACCTTTAATTTGACACATCATTCAGGGTGTTAACGTGGGCCAATATTTACGTGTATTGGCTTCTTTTACGTGTTTTCCAAAACTTCGAAGGACCAGTGAGTGAACAAGCGAGACGTGATACTTTACAAATTTATTTTTAATACATTTTACGAATTTACAAGACTTTAAAAGATGAAAATCAAGAAAAAAAAATATAAACGTGAGCTGATATCAACTGTCTGTATCGTTCTATCATGGCGGAATAATTTTGGACCAATCCTAGCCAAGGAAAGGGACCCAAGTCCCATCATATGGCTCTTCTCCCACTCGCGTCACAGTTGAAGTTCGTGCAGGGTGGGTTGCCTAGGGTTAGGTAGCACTTTGAATTTGAATTTACAGTTAGGTTGCACTTTTGAATTTACACAGGGTAAAACTTGATAGGTGTCAGAGCTGAGACCGCGGGCCCTTGCCCCAATAAGCTGCCCTGCCACCCTTTTCCGGCAAGTTCTCACGAGGCAGGATCGACTTTTTAGATAGGGGACATCGAGACCTTCAATCTGATACCGTACTTAGGGCATAACTCGATGGGGGTAGTGTTACGTTTTTTTCAATTTGTTAATAATTTGTTAAAAGATATTTCCGGCAGCATTTGCTCTCAGGCAGGAATACTGGTTAATAGATGCACACAATACTATATATTGATGGATAGTGTCAACACATAACTCGATCGGGGTAGGAAAAATGCGGTCGTCTCCCTAACTATTAAATTTGATAATTATGACAGTTTTGGGAGAACGTGATATGTTTTATCGAGAGGCGATGAAGCGATGTGTGTTTGGTGATTGTAAAAGTGATAGTCGAACGAGTTCCATTAAATTAACGACACCATTTGTCTCCACTGGAGTTTAAGGTAACACAGCATCTTGTCAAATCTACACTTTCGTAAGTATTCGGTGCATTCGCTATGGCTTCTTTGGTTGCAAAACGTTTAATAAAATTAACAGAAAGTGATGTGACAGGTGCTGTGTTACCTTAAACTCCAGTGGAGGCAAATGGGGTCGTTAATTTAATGGAACTCGTTCGACTATCACTTTTACAATCACCAAACACACATCGCTTACATTGACAATGCTACTTATAGGTTATGTGACTTTGTTTGTCGACTTTCTGCCAAAGTCATTCATAATGAGATCTTCTATTAAGTAATAATTACATGAATACTTACATTGTTTTATGTTTTTTCTTCAAATGTTTTTCGAAAGCTGATAAGTTATCCTTCTCTGATTTTCCAGTTACTTTAATTTGTAGCTCCTTATTCAGTCTCGCATACACAGCTGTGGCAGATTTGATGGCTGTACAATTTATATAAATTTTCACCACTTGAGAGGCTATCTAGAATTTCGAAAATATTATTGATCTTACAGAGTATACCTAAATCAATTATCTCATATACCTATAACTACAACAAGAACAAATAGTTGAGACTAAATAATACCTACTTACATAATTTTCATCTAAAATCAAATTCAAAGAAGCAGTTTTGCCGGTTCCCGGACATCCACTAATATAAATAGATCCAGATGTTCCTTCTTCCAAATGACCAGCAATAAACTCTTTTATTTCTTCAATTTCCTTTTCTCTTCCTGGCATTTCTGTTGGAAATTGGCTATGAAGAGCTTTCCTGGCATTTTGATATTGGGACTTTGGTTTTTCTATAACAGTCTTCGGAACTTCATTAGTTTTATTAATTTTTTTAACAGCCCTATTCAATTTGACATTATTTTCTTGCGAATCTTGAGAAAATAAACTTTTTTTTGTGGCACTCTCGTTACACTTTTTAGCAGGACTAGTTAAAGCTAATTTTCTCAGTAAACTACTGGGAGTTGTAGCCACTTCGCTGTTTAAAAGTTTCTTTTGTTTGGGTGGAGTGACTGAAAGATGAGCCATTTCTGAATGATCAAGACTAGCCTTTTGCTTAGTTGGAGTTCTTTGCAATGGTTTCGAATTCGAAAATAGACTTTCATCCTCGCTGTCACTCTCAGAACTTGATACCATTCGTTTTGGGGGCTTACGTGTTCTACTAAAGTTGATTGGGGATTCATTCGGTTCTTTTAAAATGCTTTTTCTTGACGAGGCTCTTGTGACTCTCTTCATTTTTTCTTTGAATTTTGTTTATGGATTTTACTGGACACTACACTAAAGAATATTTTTTTAAAATAAAAATCGCTGAGTTAATTTATTTTAGACCAAAATTTGTAAATTTTCTAAAGAAAACTTAAATTAATTTTTTCACATTTTTATGCAAGTGGAAATGTCAGCTTCAAAACAGAAATCATATGACTGCCTACTGTCTGCGACGCGTTCGATAACGCGGATGTTCGTGAGTTTGAAGATTGCTTTCACGTGCTCGTATGTAATAGTTGTATTTCTTTCACACCTAGGAGGAGCTCCGGAACAGCTCCGGGGCTTCACGCGCTTTATTCTTTTCGAAAAGTGTCTGTTGCATCACGCATCTGTTCCCTGCCAATCGGGGGCGACTAAACACCGGAGCGAGTAGCTCGAGTGTTTCAAGCTCTTGAAAGGAATACAACTTACTATGCTCTAGGTTTTCGAAAGGCGATCCCTACACAAAAGCTTGGTGGGAGCCCCAAAACAATTGACCTTTTGTTTTGACGCCATATTGCGGTGCGCGAACATAGTTGCCAAAACAAGAAAACCAAAAATTACTAGCGGGCTGTCAACTAGATATTTTATTATTTCTATTCTGCTCAATACAAGTTAAAATTGATGGTTTTTCTTTCCAAAAACATTCGTAATAGGCGGTAAATTTAAATTTTAAATTTAATTTATTCATTAACTTTGGATTTTAAAGTTGACAGAACGCTAATAAAAAAATTTTCTACTGTTGGCAACTATGTTCGCGCACCGCAATATGGCGTCCAAACAAAAGGTCAATTCTAATGCCCGTATGCACCATTGCACAGATTCTCTGATTGAAGCTGGATTTTCATGCATCCGTTTTTCCGACGAAAGATGTCCGAAAAACATTCTATTCTGACATAATCGTATAAAAATATGTCCAAATCTTCGACCATTGAACACTCTCTCTCTCTCTAGACTAATAACGATAATAATCAGGGACCCGGACCGAAATGAAATATCGGTTCCGTTCCGGTTCCGGTCCACAGCGTCATGACGAATATCGGTTCCGTTACGGTTTCGGTTCTAAAGCCCGTTTTACAGCTTGCAAGAAAACTTGAATGCAATTATTTGCATGCAAAAAAATTGCATTCAAGATTTCTTGCACGTTGTTTTACACCTTGCAATTTGACTTATTTCTTTCTCTAACCTTGACCATACTTTTTTGTTTTTAATGTTGTGTTGTTGATGTTTGCATTTTCCAAAAATAAAAAAAGTGATTATAAGTCGATATAAAAAGAAGAGAGCAATAGCAGCAACTTCAAGCATCATAATTGCTAAAAATTCCCCAGCTTGCACGAAAACCTTCAAGAAAAATAGCACCAAACCGATTGCATGCAATGCCATTCAAGTTTCAAGAATCTTGCAGAAACCAATCAGCTGACTCACTTCTGCGCATGCCCTCGTTCAAGTTTCTTGCATATTGCAGATAGAATTGCAAACTGTAAAACGGGCTTAAGAGAAATATTTCGATTCGGTTCGGACCAATAATTTCGGTTTTAACGGTTCATACCGATATAGTTTTTCACAAATATCTAATGGCCATTTGCACTGACCATTTCATGAAGCATCCCTTAAAACGGTCATTACAGAAAAATTTATGTTTCTATAATTTGTGGTTTATCTTTTTGGATTTCTCTGCCTATCTGCAACAACTTTAATAATCATAATAATTACTATTAACTATGCTATTAATAAAAATAATAAAATACATTTTTGTGTTTTCGATCAGTGATGACGTAACAGCGTGTCGTTTCTCGCCTTGCACCAGTTGCACCATGGATTAGGAGGTGTTTTCTCGCGTCTCAAAGTTTTGAAACATTTTCCAAAACTGGTTTAAATCAGTTTCACAATGACGTCATAATTTCTCGGCACGAGGAAATGGTTTTAAAACGTGGATTGGATTGTATTTCGAAACGGTTTAGAACCATAGTACATTATTTAATATTTCAAAACAACCCTTGTATAGATCTCATTTGCATCTTCCTCTTGTCTATTGACTATTGTGTTAATCAAATTTAAATTATATTTTTCATCATACATGTATATTCTTAACTACGAACGCAAACCGCTAACGAGACCGTTGATGACGTCGGCAACGGTTCAACAACATAAATGAACTTGATTCCAAAAATCGAAGCCGATGAGCAATCCTGTAGTAGTATGTAAAATCCTTGGTGTGTAGCCTAGCCGAGTTCAGAAATGCTCGCTGTCCAATGTCCAACGATCTGATTTTCAAAGTGTTAATTTTATTATGATACAACCAAACACCAAACATCAAACAGGTTAATTTATAAAATCTTGGAACCGAAAAATACCGGTAAGAACCGATTAATTCATATCGGTTCCGGTTCTGCCTGCCCTACAACATTTCTATGAAATATGGGTTTCGTTCCGGTTCCGGTCCGCAAAAAAAAAAACGGTTTCGTTCCGGTTTTCGGTCCAATATCGTTCCGGTCCGGGTCCCTGATAATAATGTGCTATAGAATTTGTTTGGTTCCAGAATGAGACCAGGCCCTCTTTCTCGCACTTATGAAAATAGAATGTTTATAAACCAGTCTGTTTATGTTTTGGGTATCAGAGAGCTGCGTTCGAAAACCTGGTTGTTGGTGTGGAAATTATTTCAGGGAGTGCATCTTCAAAATGTGTGCTTAAATTTCACTCTAGAGTATTCGGTGCGCACATCAATACGTGTCAAACACCCTTCCGAACGCCGAAAACCATATGATTTTAATCCACACTCCGCCTTTCCGAACGGCAGCTGTGTGATTTTTATACGATTTCTCACAAGAAAGTTGAGAACACGATGAGAACACAAAACTACTACGTTATTGCCAGACTGTAAAATCTTTCTTTAGAAGTAGGTACAGGGTGGCCCGTTAAGGAGGGGCTTATACCTTATCTCGAAATCTAGGAGGGCTGCAAAAAAAAATTAAATACAAAAGTTGTTTCTAATAAAATTATCTAAATTTTTTTTGCATTGTTTTTGTTGTTACTCTACTATATACAGGGTAGAGAGATAATTTTTTTTTTTTTTAATGAAACACCCTATATTTCAAAACACTTTCACATAGCCCTTTGAAAGACAAATCCAACGATATACTTGACATGTGTCTGTGATAAACCGTTTCGAACTTATTAGCGATAATCTTCAGGATCTGGGGTAATTTCAAACAGGCATTATTACGTTACTCATAAACTTTTAAAACTTTTTTTTTACTACTTACCTGAGAAATAGTCATTATTCAATCTATTTTTTTAGGAAAAAATTGAATTTCTCTCCCTAGGTTAATAATGAAAATAATGAAAAAATACCTAGGTCAATAATGAAAATGATGTCATGATGCAAGGATATTGTCATGTTTCTATTGGTCCAATTTCAATTTCATACGTCAATTCAAAAAAAATATAGGTTTCTGTAGGTACATATAGGAAGTTATCATAAGCTGTTGTTAGAGGGCAGCACTTTCAAAAGGGCGTTCAAAAAAATAATTAAGAGCACAGATTTTGAATATTTTTTTTATTTTCTACTAGTAGTAGTAAAAAAGATTCTATATATTCCTCGGTAGAGAAAGTCATTATATACCTTACACATTATAAACCTCGGCGCTCCGCGCCTCGGTTTATAAAAGCGCTCGGTATATAATGACCAACTTCTCTACCTAGGTATATAATATACTATTTTTGCATGATATTTTTCATAAAATAATGCTCTTCTTTAGACTATTTTGAAATTTGGAATATTTGTTCAAAAAACGCCGTGTTGCCACGTTTCGCAAAATGTTACGCTTTTCAATTTTTTTAAATGGGACCTCCTGTAAATTTTCGAATTTTTGGATAGCCCTTTAAAATACAAATTCAACGATATACTGGAAATGGGTTTGTGATGCACCGTTTCGGCCTTATTGGCGATTATCTTCAGTTCTAGCACCATATTTTATGTCATCCCTGTTGAATAAAGAAAATGTCTAATTTTGCAGTAGATTAGCTGAAATAGTGCTCTTTATTATTATTATTCATTCAAAAGTAGTTAAAGTTTCTCCACATTATTAAAATAGAAAAGACGTTTAAGTTTTTGTTTTCATTAGTTTCTCGCGTTAATAATGGGGAGAAACTTTGACTACTCTTTGAACAAATGATAATAAAAAAATATTTCGCAAATTATTTAATAATACCTACTGCAATAAACTATATATATATAACTATAAAATTAGTTTAATTAAATTCTCTATGTGTCCGCCATTTTCAACAATACAGGTAGTATATCTTACTTGTAAATGTGTTATCGCATTTAACACGTAATTAGGTTGATTTGACAAATATAGCAACACAGCGTCACGTTTAATTTTTTGTTTTTATCCAAATTTCTCGCCTTTTTCATTTTAATAATGGGGAGAAACTTTGACTACTTTTTGAATAAATAATAATAATAAAAAGCACTATTTCAGCAAATCTTATGCAAAATTAGACATTGTTTTTTATTCATCAGGGATGACATGAAATATTGTGCTAGAACTGAAGATAATCGCCAATCAGGCCAAAGCGGGTGCATCACAGACCCATGTCCAGTATATCGTTGAATTATTTTAAAGGGCTATCCAAAAATTCGAAAATTTACAGGATGTCCCGTTTAAAAAAAATTGAAAAGCGTAACATTTTGCTAAATTTCAGTATAGTCTAAAGAAAAGCATCATTTTATAAAAAATATCACGCAAAAAAAAGTTTCAAAAGTTTATGAGTAACGTAACAATGCCTGTTCAAAATTACCCTGAATCCCTGAAGATAATCGCTAATAAGTTCGAAACGGTTTATCACAGACACATGTCCAGTATATCGTTGGATTTGTCTTTCAAAGGGCTATGTAAAAGTGTATTACGATATAGGGTGTTCCATTAAAAAAAAAAAAAATTATCTCTCCACCCTGTATATAGTGCAGTAACAACAAAAACAATGAAAAAAAAATGTAGATAATTTTATTAGAAGCAACTTTTGTATTTAATTTTTTTCTGCAACCCTTGTAGATTTCGAGATATAAGGTATAGGCCTCTCTTAAACGGGCCACCCTGTACATAGTTCCATTTAAAACCAAATTGAGTCGTGATAAAAGGTATTGTTGTTTTAGAATTATTTTA